GAAAAGTGACTTTATAGTTAGGGTTTGTATTTCCAGACCTGGCACTTTCTATTATTGAATTTTTCTCTTCATCTGTAAGTTCTTTGACAGGTTTTGACAATGGTTCTGAACTTTTTGTTTGTGGTGTCAAATCTACCGTTTCAACTTCTTCGGTCATTTCATCTCAGTAAAAATTTTAGTTTGGTTTGTTTTCAACTGGTTGTTGTTGTTTTTTAAGTCGGTCTAAAACTTCCTGAGGTATAGGAGACTTGACAAACACGTGGTTGTGTAACTGCTGGAAGTCGACAAATCCATCTTGAACCCATTTGTCTCAATGCTGTATTGTTCATTTCATCTCAGTAAAAAATTTACATTCCCCAAGTTTGAGGCGGTTGAGGTTGGTTGTTGTTTACCCATTGTTGTGCATGGTTATATCCTCTGTTAAAGAATCTTTCACCTTGGTCCATATAGTGTCCTGCTTGGTTATAGTAGTCATTTGCTTTGTTATAGTAGTTTCCTGCTTGTCTTCCTACATTGTCCATCCATCCTTGAACTTTTCCTCTTGTTTCAGGATTTGGAATAAGATTTGCTGCATCTCGTGCTACCTCCCAACCTTTCTGTACGTTTGTATAATAGGTTGTGCTTTCTCTTTCAGTATACCTAATGTACTCAAAATCTTCCTTCCAACTCCAAATACACCTCTGGCTATTGTTCCACTGCGGGCAAAAATCTGGATGCAACTCCTGCTAATGCGCCAAATAAACCCATTTCTTATAGGATAAAAATGACGAATCCAAACAAGGACCCTATGTTTCTAAAGCAACAAAGAAAGCACTCATGGTAAAAATCTTTAGTTCAACACCAAATGCTTGGTTTATGGATATCTTGGAAAACATTCCGAGGTATAGAGAAGATGGACCACCATACTGGCTAATATTTGTCGGTCAAAACACAAGATACTGTGAAGCCATACCATTACAGTCCAAAAATATTTTAGATGTGAAAACTGCTTTGACAATATTCGTTGACAAATACCATCCAACAAAACTGACATCTGACTGTGAAAGTTCTTTCAAATCAGACGATATTAAAAACTATCTGCGTTCAAAAAATGTAAACCAATATTTCATTGTCGACCAAAACCATTCTGCTCTTGGTGTCATTGACAGTTGTATAAAAATCTTAAGAGACTTAAATCAACCACAAGGTGGTGAAGTAAATGAAATGTCATATGACGACAAATATAGACACTTCTCCATGGCAAAGATGAGACAAGTTTTAAATATTTACAATAGCCGTAAACAAAAAGGTTTGGGAAACCACTCCCCCGAAGAAATGAAAAACAACCCTGACTTAGAGAAAGACTATATATTTAATAGTTTAGTCAAAAGAGACAAACAAGAAAGAATGCCAGGCTTCAAACTTAAGAAAGGTGACAAAGTAAAAATAGAAATACCTAAACGCGACCCATATGAAAATACTATTGACTATGACAACAATGGGAACCCGACAGGTACTCGCATTCGTGTTCGTAAAAATAGAAGAAAGTATACAAGAGAATATTATGAAGTTTTAGGCAAACATGGCAAAATGTACAGACTGCAAGCAGAAGATAAAACTACTATTGTCAGACCTCGTTTCAAACTTGTTAAGGTTCAAGGTGGTATACTTTCAAAGACAGTTCCTAACAAATATAAGACAACTCCTGACGAATATGCTAAAGAAGTTGAAAATGACGACTAAGCAATTCTATACCATGCGTAAACTGTCATGTAAGGTGGCATATAGTCTTTACTCTGTCCCGTTGTTTCCGAATATCCTGTAATGCGATGTGTATGGCTTCCTCCTCCCTGAGTGTCATCCCAGTAACAATTTATAGCAAACTTAACGTCGTCTTTAACATCATATCCTTTACCTTTTGTCATTCCTGTCCAATCCCAATATCTATGCTTATGCCAACCTGCTTCAGCTGTAGTTAAATTTATGTAATGACTGTGTGCAGGTAAGTTTTCACCTGAAATCGTTTTACTTCCACCTGTTTCCTTTGAAGAGTTTGCACAATACAAAAACCTGTCGACTATTTGAGTCCAAGTTCCGAGACCAAGTACTACTTCTGGTCTGGTAGAGTTCATTGACGTGTAAATAGAACCTATAGGATATATTGTTTGAAGTATTTCTGTCTTTAATGTTTGAAGCTCTGTTTTGTCTGCTTTTTTATATAACTTTTCTTCAAGTTCATTTACGTCAGAGATGCTATGTCTATGATATTTTTGTGGGTATGTTCCTTCTGTCCATGCGAAAATACGTTCTTTTGTTGCATCTACATATCCTTTTATCCATGTCGAGTCTGCTTTTGTATTCCTTAACTCTGTAACACCTTTCTCAAGCTCTTTCAACTGTTGTCCATCTTCCATTAAACCTCTGGTATGACTTGAAACCGTTTGTGCCAACATATCTACAGTTTCTTTGTCAGCTTTAAGGTCTAAACATCCTGAAACCCACCCTGTATTGGCTTTACCTTCTAAAATCTTCGATGTCCGTTCATTATACCATTCAACCCTTTCTTTAATTTCATTGTCTTTTTCATCCACATATTCCTTATCTGCCTTCTTCACTAACGCACTAGCCACGCATGCTAACTCATCGTTAACATATGTTTTGTCAGCTTTCTTTTCAACATCCTCTTTTGTTGCATATGTTGCATCTGCTCTGTCATGTTCTTCTTGAACTTTTTCAATGACATACTCTTTGTCAGCTTTGTTGTCAATATCTGCTTTCAAAAGAAGTTCATCTATAGGTTTCTCGTTTAAAGTTCCTTTTGTTGGATTTATACAAACAGTATGGTTCTTACTGTCTTGAAATAGAAACTCATCTGTCAATGGGTTTAATGTCAGTTTTAAGTTTCCTTCTTTCAATGACTCAGATATCTTAGAATAGTTTGAAAAGTTTGTTGTGTTCTTATTTAGAGCTTGCAAAATGAGTTGTCGGTTGTGTTTTATTTCTCTCATAGACGCTGTTTCTTCGACATTTTTATTCTAGATAAAATATGCTTTCAATAGAAAAAGAAAATTCAAGAGTTGCTACAACTAAACCATTAGATGAACTTTTTACGAATGTCGGTCAAAAGTTTGAGACAGAGACCGTAAAGCATGAAGGCTATCGTTTTGACTACCCGTTAAGATGGTTAAGAGACCCATCCGTCACAAAAGCTATTGGCTTTCGTAGAATGAAGTTCATTTCAGAAGCCATACATGGTTCCCATTTACGGTCGCTTTTGAAGTTCGATACTATAACAAAGAAAAACATACGTATGAGAAATTTAACAGGGAAAACTTTTACAAGTAGTTTGCTTGTAACTTAGAAACAACTCTTCAAGCTTTTCAAGAAAAAATAAACGATATCTATCTCGAATATGCAAAACAGTACAACATTGACGAAGGAGAGTACCATCTCGATATTATATATGACAGAAAAATGCAACTGTTAAAATCAATAGAATAGAAGACCTTGGAGAAGACGTTTATATTTCTACAAAATATAACAACTTGGCATGGTATAGATTTTTGAGGATGTTAAATCAGCCTGCAGAATATCCAGTACACCCGAACTTTTATGAAGTCGAAAAACCCTTAATGGAACATATGAAAATGTTTTCGACTCAGATGCTATTATAGTTCATGCTTCATTTTCTGGTGCACAAAACTCTTTTTTATGCTTGGCAAATGACTTTTTACGAAAAACCTACAAAGTTATACGAACCACCAAGTGGAAGTATTTCAGACTTTCAAGTATGGTTTACTACAGATGGAAGAAAAAGAATAATTCCATTATACCACGCGTTTTACTTAGAACTTAGTTTCATATACAACTACTATCGAACGGTTAAAAATATAATTTTTTAATACGGTTGAGGTGTTGGATTTGGTTGCCAACTAGACTGTGGTGCAGGTTCAGGATGTTGTATAACAGGAGCTTGTTCTTCTGGTTCAGGGTCTTTAGGTATAATACCAACGAACTGACCTACTCTTTTACCAATATTTTTTGACTCCGTTCCAAATTCCTCTTCCTACGGTTTTTATTCCATTCCATATACCTCTTCCAACATTTCGAAAGAAGTTTCCTATTCTTCCAAAGAAACCCATTTTACTATATGTAAAAATCTAATGTCCGCCTAGTCTCTTACGTTTCCTGTTGAGTTCCATAGCATTCTTTAACTGGAGCTCATACATTCTGTTTTCTCCTCTGGTAGAAAACATATTCTGGGTCAACTCCTGTGTTCGCGTCATCTGCATAAAGTTGTTTATATATCCCACTTCAGGGTTTGTATAAAACTCTTTCCATCTCATATTTGCATACCATGGTGGCAAACCTAACGCAGCGTCATTTGACATGGCAGTTTGCATTTGTACATCTGTTGGCACTTGACCATAGTTTGCCATGCAGTTTGTATTCTAACTTCATTTGGAATATTCTCTGGGTTTGGTTGTCCAGGTTGCTGTGCATTCGCTAAGTTCTGTGCGTCCATTTAATATTAGATAAAAATATCTCTTACGAGTACATATGCTGAACATTTGCAGGCATTGGTTCATCTTCATATTCTCTATATCTTTCTGCCACGTCAAATAAGTAAATGACACAATGGAAAAAACCTAAAACAAGTAGTCCTATTTCAAACCACATTTACTTACTAATAAAATTTCTTTGTTATGACACTTTCTCCAGTTTATAGGACCTCTCTCATATTCTATCTTATCGTATCTAAACTCATAGTCATGTATGTCCTCTAACCATCTCATGACACTTTCCAAACCACTTTTATCGGATGTAAAGTAAAAGCATGGATGGTTATGTAAAACGTCTAAAGTTTCTAAAGAGTCTCTCAAAGTCCAGTCTACTTGGTATTGAAAATCCCATGTGTTATAGAACGGCGGGTCCACTATAAAGAAAACATTTTCCTTGTCTTTATATTTTTCATACAACTCTGTCCAATGACATCTCACAAACTCTATACCCTCAATATATTTTTCTATGTTCTCTTTGAAAACATTTGTATAGTTAAGATATAAAACTTTTGACATAAGTGTTTCAATGTCATGAACTCTTATAGCACCACTATATAATAGTCTAGCAGATATACTATCCCAGTCAATATACTCTGCCTTTTTCAAAACCTCTCTGACAGTATTTTTCTTATCTAATGGTATACGTTCCATCTTACCTATAGGTATCTTTTCTTTTAACTCTTTCAATATTTTGTTTGTGTCTGGTATATGTTTGAGACGGTTCATATAGTTGTCGAAGTCATTGCATATAATCTTTGAGTCAGGAAATATTGTATGGCACAAATGGGATATATAGAAACTTCCACCGAACAAGTCTACAAATGTTAGACCATTCGGTAGTTTCTTAAGTTCTCTCAATAGAATATCTTTACATCTACTCTTATTTCCAAAGAAGGGTAACGGTGGTTTTGTAAAATTCATTTTATATATATAATAAAAATGTTTTTTCCTGAAAAGTGACAGAAAAGTGACAAAACATGTACGAAGAAGTCTTGAAAATTCAAGAGGGTAGAAAAGAGGTTAGAAAAGAGGTTATATCTAACCTTCTACCCTAAACATTATTTTTGTCTGATTTTACGAAGAAGTCTTGACAAAACATGAAAACATATATAATTTGTGAAAAGCTCCTGGAAGACCCGTATATAAGAACTTCATTTATACTAAACATCTTCGGGGCTAGAGGGCACGAAGTGCCTGGAAGCCCCACTACCTTTTTTTTTTTTTTTTTTTTTTTTGATTGAGGTCGACAAGAATTTTGATACTTTTACTCTTATTTATTTTATATATCTATAGTGTCAAATTTAACCTGACAAAGATAAGTTGAAAGTCAATTTCTGAACCACTATTGCAGAAATATTCCATATATTCAATTCAATATATTTCTGATCTAAATGACATTACAGTTCAGCGAAAAAGGTGTCGATGGTGTAACAAACCTATAGAAGTCTTAACTAATGAAGTTTTAATAATAAACTAATCGAGGCAAACCCAAATTTTAGCTAAAAGTGACAGGAAAAAAAAGTTTAGTATTAAAAAAAGACCGATGAGAGCTTCGTTCGAAATATAGAGGGAACTGAGAATGCGCAACCATTCTCAGGGAATATTGGATGCTATTCCCGTTCCCTCTGTATGGAAAATTGAGGTTTTCAAAGGGAGTTAAAATAATATCAAATTTATACTAATTTACTTCAAAATACAAAAGTATTTGACAGCTAAAATTAGTTACTTTAGCAAGCCTATCAATACCCTTTTACGATTATTGCTACTTTTTCGAAATAAAAGTAAAAACAAATTTATACTAATTTACTTCAAAATACAAAAGTATTTGACAGCTAAAATTAGTTACTTTAGCAAGCCTATCAATACCCTTTTACGATTATTGCTACTTTTTCGAAATAAAAGTAAAAACAAATTTATACTAATTTACTTCAAAATACAAAAGTATTTGACAGCTAAAATTAGTTACTTTAGCAAGCCTATCAATACCCTTTTACGATTATTGCTACTGCTACTGTTTTCGAAATAAAAAGAGTAAAAACAAATTTTTATAACTAAAATTTACTTCAAAAATACAAAAGTAATTGGACAGCTAAAATTAGTTACTTTTAAGCAAAGCCTATTCAATAAGCCCTTTAACGAGTTTTTTGACTACTTTTTTCCGGAAATAAAAGTAAAAAAACAAATTGTAATACTAGATTTACTTCAAAAATACAAAAAAGTATTTTGACAGCTAAAATTAGTTACCTTTTCGGCAAAGGCCTGATCAAATAACCTGGTATTACGAATTATTGCTACTTTTCGAAATATAAAGTAAAAAACAAATTTTATACTAATTTTACTTCAAAATACAAAAAGTAACTTTGACAAGCTTAAAATAAGTACTTTAAGCAAGGGGCCTATCAATACCTTTATTACGATTTTTGACTTAAACTTTTCGAAAATAAAGTAAAAAACAAAATCTTATACTAATTTTATTCAAAATACAAAAGTATTTGAACAGCTAAAATTAGTACATTTTAGCAAGCCTATCAATACCCTTTTACGATTATTGCTTAACTTTTTCGAAATAAAAGTAAAAACAAATTTATACTAATTTACTTCAAAATACACAAAAGTATTTGGTGACAGCTAAAATTAGTTACCTTTAGCAAGCCTATCAATACCCTTTCTTTACGATTATTGCTACATTTTTCGAAATTTAAAAGTAAATAACAAATATTATCTAATTTTACTTCAAATACAAAAGTATTTGTACAGCTAAAAATTAGTTACATTTTAAGCAAGGGCCTATCAATACCCCTTTACGATTATTGCTACTCTTTTTCGAAATAAAAGTAAAAAACAATGTTATTACTAATTTATTCCAAAATAACAAAGTATTTGACAGCTAAAATTATTACTTTAGCACAAGCCCTAATCAATCCTTTTACGATTATGCTACTTTTCTTCGAAATAAAATAAAACAAATTTATTTATCAAAAACCTTTTTTCTTAGTAAAAAATAAACGAAAATTTACCTTAATTGAATTGATGGAAATATGCAAATTTAAAAAAATAATTAAAGGGAAGCCGGCGAGCGAAAGGCGATCGGGCTTTAGTAATCGATAGATTTTTCGATTTTAAAGTCTTTGGCTTATCCATGAGGCTATTTATTTAAGAAGTTCCGAAATAAGTGACACCAAAAAGTGACACTTTCGAATAGGAGTAAATACCATTAAAAAAATTACAATTTAAAAATTTCACAAATAAATAAAAATAAGTAAATTTTTTTAGTCAATTAAAAATTATTCTTTCTTTTTGGAAAATACCTCCAAAAATATCTTCTCTGAAATGTTTCTTAAAAATATAAACCATGGGGAATTAAAACAAATTCATTACATTTCTAACTATAGTAATACTAAAACAATTGCATTGAATTTCAAAGACGATCCTTTTAATGATGAGTAAAATTGGAATTTTGTATCTTCCCTCATATATTGAGACTGGAAGTTTTTCTTTCAGATTTTGCCTAGGCTATACGGAAAAATTTAAAATGGAATTCCCCCAAATGGTCTTGGATTCTGACAAAAATTAAACTTGGTATAAAAACGTGCACTTGAAACTTCTCTTTTCAATTTTGTTTTTTATAATCTGTCAATCGGCTCGCCGAATTCCTAAATTGATTAGGAATACAAACCCTGTTTGGAAGTTAAATTAATGTTTTTTACATACGATAAAACTAATTGAGGATGCAAAAAACTTCTTCTAAAAAAAGATTTTGGACAAAATACATCAATTCTTTGGTATATTTCTCAACGCAGCCAAACTCGTCGATATTTTATTCTTTTTAAATAAAGATTCAGACAACCGTTATTCCACAACGGTATTCATTTTGGTCTGGCAGGCGGGCTAATCCCACTGTTGTTTTAATGAAGTCCACCTGCGTGTAAAAGGTATTGATTGAAAATTCCAATTTGATCGTTAATGAATTTATCAAATTTAATGTGCTCTTTATACGTTTTTGCAGCATTACGTTCTTCTGTGCAACACGATTAATAAACAGCAAAATGTTCATAAAATTTTTCGACCTTATAATTCTAATCTCTCTGCATTCCGAATCCTGTAATCTTTGAAAAGAAGATTCTTTTTATAGTTCGCGCTACCTTACCAGTAGGCGCGCACGCAAAAGAATATTATTGCACTCCGAAAATGAATTCGTAACCTCCGTTTGAAAAATGTTTTAGTGGCCACAAGTCAGACCTGATAATTCAGGGTTTCTGGTGTGAAGTTGTTTCCAAAAATATTACTAAGCAAAAAGGAAATAATTTTCAAAAATATGTATCTGGATATATTATAAAAAATATAACACAGGAAGGGAATAGAATTGGGAGTATAGCAAAAATTTGGTAAGCAATAACATAAAAAGGGAAACATGAATAATTAATTTTAAACGTAGAGTCTAAAGTGATAAAAATTGGTGGTTTTTTCATGAATTATTGAGAGGGCATCATGTCCTCAATTAGTCAGAGGTACAATAAAAACCAATTTGACTCATGGAAAATCAGTATTCTTCAGCCTTGAATTGTCAAACATAAATAAAGGGTCATCATCGTTCATCTTTCCGCCACCCTTGATTAAACGAAAATAGGTTTTTGTAAAGATTGAAAATGATTTAAAGATATGTTCTCGTAAAGGACCTCAATAAGATCTTTTTGTTGTAAAATTAATATTTACAATTGATTGATATGGCAGTTTGTTTTGTCATAGTCATCGGCTGAATACAAAGTATTGATTCTTAGTATTTTCCAAGCGTTTTTGTTCACTTCTGCTGATTTGCCATTAAGGGGACTTCCGTGATATTTTTTAGTCGAATGAACACCAAATTAATTTATAGAAATCAAGCACGGTATGAGCCACCACTGATAGTGTTTATTTTGTAAATGTTGCTTGGGATAAGAGTCGCTGCAGTTGAAT